AGTAGTTCGGCTGCCCGATGACGTTTTACGTATTATAGGAGTTATTTTTACCGTTGTTTACGGATAATGCCACAATTTTTATAGGAATCATAACTATAGGAAACGGTTTTATAGGGGGATCTACTGTATAAGTAATATATTATAATTGTATGATAATATTTTCATATGATATATGATAAGTAAAAAAGAAGTTTAAAATATATAATTTATACAAAATGCTTTATTTAAAGTATAAAATGAAAATAAAAAAATTATTTTAGTATTTTTGAGTTACGACATTCACATTCAGAAGTTTAATGGCCATTCTTGCCGTTACTTTTGAAAATACATACAGTGGTATCTCGTACTTCAAACAACTCTAACTTTGAATGTTTCCAAGTTCAAACACTAAATTCATCAGAAATTCACTTTGGAGTTTGAAGTATGCATGCCAGGGCTGTAGAGTTGGAGTCGGGTGGAATTTCTGGCCAGAGGAGTCGGAGTCAGGAAAAATGTGGCGACTCAGACTCCAGCATTTTAAATTTAATTTAGTTTTTCTTATTTAAATGAAAGAAAATTTATTTTATATTTATTAATTTTTTAAAATGTTTTTGTATTTTGTTATAATTCATTTATTTTAAATACAAAATCCAACAATTTAATTTTTTAAATATGTATGAATAGTTTTCTTTGTAGTATTTTTGTTTAGCAGTTAAATTATTTTGACCTAATTGAATTTGAATATTTTTGATTCCTTCCTTTATTATCCCCACTCTAAATAAGTACTCTATTTTTCTGATTGAGCCAGACTAATTGATCAGAGTGCATATTTTTTCTTTTCTGAACAAGGGGCTGAAGTAGCTAGATTGCGCACTTTTTAGTTGGACTAACTTTTCTAGAAAGGTGAAATTGGAAGCACAAAAGCTGTAGAATAAAGATATGTAGATGTAGAATTTTATCACTCCCCCTTTTTCCTTATATTAAATATTTGTTAAAAATTAATTTTTTTATACAAATAAATATTAATGTAAGTTAAATATTAAAAATACTAACTATAAAAGTATTTGGGTAAATGCCCAGGGCTCTTTTTAGAGTTCTGAGTAGGGTAACCCACTATGAGTGCCTCTGCCCCCCATAAAATGACTTTGTATTTAATTTTGTCAGAGTTGGAGACAGAGTCAGCCTACTAAAATTATCAGGAGTTGAGTGTTTTTTACCAACTCCGCAGTCCTGATGCACACAGTGAAAAATTTCCACTTAAACAAGACATTACTAATGTGCCTGATTTGCCAGAGAGTTTTCTCAAATGAAGCCATGAAACTTTCATGATTAGAACATTTCACCAAAATATATCTTGACAGAAAAGATAAAAATTTATCTTACTTTAAAATGCTCAAAGAAGAACATTCAAGACATCCAACATTAGCTGGTATGTTTTCAGTGGCATCGAAATGAGACTATAATGCTTCTTACATTTCCTTGCTTATTGCTAAATCAGGAAAATCGCACACTATTGGAGAAGAATTGATACTGCCGGCTGTGAGTGAGGTTTTGCATACTGTATCGCACAAGTCACCATCTGATATTATTAAGAAAATCATGTTAAGCAATAATACAGTACATAGACAAATTGACAAAATGTCCAAGGATGTCGAGAGTTCTCTAAGTGATTTTTTGAAGACTACCGAGTTTTCTTTACAGCTCGATGAATCTACTTTACCAAACAATGAGTCTTTACTTCTTGTGTATGTTTGCTTCATAAAATATGAAAAAATTTGTTAAGAACTATTATTTACAAAATAATTAGAAATGGATACTAAAGGAAAAATCTATATTTGATGTATTGGAACACTGTTTTAAAGAAAAAAGTATTCCTATGGATGATATCATGTCTGTTGCTACCGATGGTGCTCTGGCAATGATTGGACGATGCCATGGGTTGATTTCATATTTGAAAAGGGCGGTACCAAATGTAGTTGCCATGCATTGTAATTCACACACAACATTTGGTTGCAAAAAACCTTAGTGATCGCTTTCATTGTTCACTACACTGTTATTACAGCAATGAACAAGATCAGAAGCAATGCTCTCAATGATAGATTGTTTTGAAAACTTTGTGATGAAAACAATAATGATTTCGATTGTTTACTATTGCACACAGAAGTTTGTTGGCTATCAAAGGGTACCTGTCTAAAAAGATCTTATGACCTCTTTGACTCAGTTCTAATGTTTTTTGAAAACAAAGATGATTTGTTAAGAGAGAATTTATTGAAATTTAAGAATAATATAGCTTATTTAACTGATTTATATAATAAAGTTTAATGAAACAAATCTACAACTGTAAGGAGATGATTTGAATTTGATCAAAGCAAAGGCAACTATTTCTGCATTTGTGTCAAAACTTGCCTTATACAAACAAAATTTGGGTTGAAGATAATTCTATCAGTTTCCGAATCTTTCCTCTGTGGAAACAAATGATGACAACATTCTGATATTTTGTCAGCATTTGGATGCACTTAAAAAAGATTTTACAAATAGATTTAAGGATATTCTGAACACAATCATTCCAGATTGGGTACTAGAACTTTTCTCAAACCTACAAACAGCAGAATTATCACTGCAGAAGGAGTTGATAGAATTGTCAACAAATGAATAGTTAACATTGAAATTAAGAAATATATATCAAGAATTTTGGCTTCAAAGGCCAGTTCCAGTATTATATCCAGTTTCATGGGCTGCATCAAAGAAGTTTTTCGTTGCATTCCTATCATCATATTTAGCTGAAAAAGAATTTAGCATAGTCAGCAATTTATTAACAAAGAAAAGAAACAGATTGTCATTATTGGAATGTGGTGATTTAAGATTAGTGATTACAAATGTGGCACCAATTATCGAAAAATTAGTGTCATTACTCCAAGCTTGACTCTCTCCCTAATAATAGAGGAGAAGGTGGTATTATGGAACACTGCGGGTATTATGGAACCACCCCATTTCGAACTGATAATAAAGGCGAACTGTAGCGGAATGTGGCTGAACTGAACTAGGCAGACATCCATAGCAAGGGGAAAACCCGTTTTACTTCAGTTAAACGGTTGTCCGTATTTAATCAGCAAATTTGTTTTTNTCGTCCAGAGTTCAAGTTAACCGTATAGCCACTGTATATGTTAGGGAGGCATAAGAATTTTAAAAAGGCTTAGGTGGGCATAGCGCAAAAAAGGTTGGGAAACACCGATTTAGACGAACCGGGCAACCGCCTAGATTGCGAGCCACGAAGGGGCGCAAAATTTCAAGCCACGCTTTATTCATATTTCACTAAAATATTAAATTAAACAGTGATATATATTTCAGGTATGGATTCTTTTTCCTTATCCCTCACACATCACACTATTTTAATATTTAACTCTTGGTTTATTTCTGTTCCTTTCCTAAATGATTTGAACTTAGCGCTATTTAAAATTCGGTTAAAATAAATATTTTAAAATACAGTAGCCCCTTGTTATATCGCGCTTGTTGGGAAATAAAGAAAAAGCGCGATATAACGAGATGCTACTGTATTAAAGTTAGGTATTTTATAACTTTTTTTTGTAAATGAACTATAACAGAATTTTGAAATTACTTACAAAAGAAAAGAAATAAAAAGGACAAAATAAAGAAGAAGAAGAAATAAAAATTTGAATAAAATAAAAATGAATATAACATATCAAATATTTTAATACAATTTTTACACCTGTCAACTATATGAAATTATTCTAAAACATACCAGTAGGATCTCATGCGTTCGGTTAGATTATGAATTTACTCCGCGATCAGTGTTGATAGGGGCGGCCAAATATCTGTAACACGAAGGCGGCTAACAGTTGAAAACTTGCCCTGACGAGAAGACGGTTAAGTACCTACATTAGCTGAAATTACAATAAAACTTCGCTTTATGGCCACCCTGAAATTACCGGTAAGTTTTAATATAAAACAAACTTAAGCTGTAAGCCACTTCAGTGGACAAGATAGGAATGCCCTAAAGTGGCATTTATCCCACTTTGCATTACCAACCAAACAGAAAACGCCTATGCTTCTTAACTCAATGCATTGTTTAAATCTCTTTAAACAGAATTGCTATAGTATTGGGACATTTTGTTGATACACACACATTGGATGACATTCAAATAAAATAAATCTTCACTTGCACTACAGTCAGTGTAACGAAAGAGTAGATACGAGTCAGTCTGAGATGAAAGGGAATATATGATTAACGTCTACTCTTTTGTTGCGCGGACTATCCACAAGTTTCCAGAAAATGTTTTGGAAATTCTGCCACACAAAGGCGTGTCTTGACAGCCGCTAAGATACTTCTAGTTAGTGTAGGTCTGCAATTTTTAATTTTTTCATTGGCGATTTTGCCTTATAAAACTAGTTCAGGTAGATATTGCGCGGTGGTTGGCTGCCATAATAGCCAGAGAGTTCTTTATAAGTGGCTTATTAAGGCTGTATGCAATACACACGTAAACACGATGTATCGAGATTGACCATATATTCAACCGTTCCACTTCCAAGTGATGAAAATTTCAAAGTAAAAGTGAAGAAATGTTACGTAGGTTTCTTCTCACGAGGATTTAACTTAAGTTTCTTTCTAAGATTCCCTTCCCCGTTATGATTTTTGAACCCGCGAGGCGAAATATTAACTCCAGTAGTCAAAATTCCAAGCTTAGTTCGATATTTTCCGATATATCGATAGTTACAAAACTTTTCCCATCACTGTAGCGATGTTGCCGCCGAAGTTTTCATCTGTAAAACGTGAACGTCGAGCGCCGCTATGCTCGACGTTCGACGTTCACGTTTGGATATCGCCCAACTACTCCTCCAGAGGGCGGGAAAGCAAGCAAGCAAACTACTAATAATAATTTTAAAAATTTTAAGTACATATTTATGTATGCACTTAAACTGTTAATATAAATACTCGTAATAATTATAATTTATTTTTGATTCGAAAAATTCTATTTAAAACATTTCTATTTTTATTTTACGAAGTTGAATGAAGTTGGCAACACGGTCAACGCGAGTGTAGACAAATAGAAGAGAGAGAAGTGGAAAACATAAAAGTAAAAATTTACCAATTATTGAAATCAGGTAAACGGCTTGTAATTTCAGTTATTAACAGCATTTTTTAATGAATATTTTAGTTAATTTTATCGAAGTTATAGTTTAGAAACACTAGAATAGCACACACTTCGGTACAATTATATCCAACGACTAGCTGTTACCCGCGAGGATTTTGCAAGCAAACCCAATTTATATTCAGTACAAGTCGACCCCCTATAACCTGTAGATAATTCCGTGTTATATGAATTCCATGTTGTGCGAGTCACTTAGATTTTACAAATACGTGAGCTGTTCACAGCCCGGCACACGTATTTATGAAATCTAAGTGACTCGTACAACCTGGAATTCATATAAAACGGAAAAATCAACAGTGTTATAGGGGGTCGTCTGTATTTCAACAACTATAGTAATTTTTATATAACAACTACCGTTGAGAATGATAAGAATTGCCGAGAATTAAACGAACTATTTTCAGTTTTATCAATTTTCTTGCCGGTTGGTTGGTTGATTAAATATGAAAAGGTGACATGTTAAGACTGCTACAATTTATTGAATAATGATCTGTAATAGATGGGCTAATGCAGAGGTGGCACGCCTTTTTAAGCCGGTGTGCTGTAGAGTGAGGATACTTAGCTTTAGAGGTGTTCCTGCGTTCCAAAGAAGACTTTGAATAAAGATATTTAAATGAATTAAACAAATAAGCTTTAATTAGAATAAATGCAAAAAAGCCAATTGAAAAAAGGACGATCGGTGGCGTGTCTCCCTTTCCCTCTCCGCTCTCCCTGCTCGAACTCGAGACCTTACTATGCATATGTAGCTAGAACTATTTCTAAAATATATCAGCACAAAACCTTTCTCACTAATTTCTAGTGAGAAAGGTTTTGTGATTTCTAGAAATTTTTTTAGACTAATTTCTAGAAATCATAAATGATTTCTAGAAATTAGTGAGAAAGGTTTTGTACTGATATACTCGAGACCTTAGTGGTGCGAGGCGAGAGATCTAATTCCTCGGAACTCCGTGGCTGCTTTTGCAAAAAGTCACGGAAGATGTTGTTCGGCTGCCTTGCATTTCTTTATGCGGCGAGAGTGTAGTGAAATGACATTGCGAGTAATGTGTTGCGCAGTGCGTTCGCTGTAAAGCTCTTCTCGAGTGCTGCATAAAGAAATGCGGGGCTGTCAATTGCCATAATTGTAAATGGAAAAATTCTGATAAAAGTTTTTTTCGCTTTCCTCGTGACTCGGAAAGGTAATTTTCATACTGTTATGATTGTTATATTAAGTTAATAATGGTAGCTTAGAATATTAAACTATGTCAAGAATTAAATATTCCAATTAAATTGAACTCAATATTCCACAAGAAAATCCAAGCATAGCAAAAAATACAAGCTGGTCGGTCATCTTCGTACCGGGCCCCCCGACTAGGGTCCGGTCAGTTGCTATTGTGTGGGGCCGTGATCGAGTGACAAGCCAAAAGTATGATTGAAGAAGACAGATGATAAATCATAAATGATTTCTTCTTACGTGGCACCAGTTTACCATCCCTGGCCTAATGGATGGAGGATCGAGACCGTTCTTAACGGAGATATTTCCGTTGCGTATTCTGGGTTATTGATACATTATGTATAGTTACTTCAGTATTTCCAATATTGGTTTAAAATTTGGAGTTTCTTGGATTGTGGAATGATCTGAAGATATTTTGGTGTTAGAATAAATCCTTTCTTGAACAACTTGAAAAAAATGCTTATTGAAATACTACTGGAAAAGCCAGCTAGTTTATTTAAAATGGTCCTTGTTGCAGTATTCTTTAAGTGTGAGTTTAAAAAAATATTTAGATAGTTTTAATTACCCGTATTTATCTCTGATTTATAATTACATATTGCACGTTTTGCATTGTGGAAGCAGTGCCGGATTAACCGACAGACAAATAATACAAATGTCTAGGGTCCGTACTTTGGAGGGGCTCGGCTTCCATATAGAAAAAAATAAAAATAAATAAAAGTTTTTCGTTACGCCAGAAACACTTTTATTATATATTTATTACTATATTAGTGATTGTATTCTCTGTTGTGTTTAAAGGAATATTGATCTTTTGTGTTGTATGAGAGAATTACTTTTTTTTTTAGTTCTGATGGAAGAATTTGGATAGAAAATTTTTAAATAAATTTATTTTACTTCAAAAAGTTCAATAATTTTTAAAAAAAATATAATTATATTATTTATGTTGTAGGAGATGAATATTATCTTTGCGTTTTATTATTAAATGTTATTGGCAAGGTCCAAAGGACCGACAATCTTAGGATTATCTAGATAATGTTAAAAATTGCCAATAGTGTTTTATGCATTGTTTGAAATAAAGTTTTATTTTAGATTTTGTCTAAAAACAAATTTGGAAAGCAATATTACTTAAAGAAATTGTGCAATGTCCAAATTTGATATTTTTGTACACGTGTTACCTGTTTTACTGGATAAATGGGCATGAGATAAATAAGAGATATTTTGTAGAATACTTTACTGAAGAATGAAGCTTGTTTATAAGAATTGAAACATGTCAGTGGAAAGGAACAGCAAGAATTCAATAAACATATGAACAACTTACTCTAAAATTTATTTACATAAATCTTAAAATAAGTTGTTGTTGCAACTTTTAGTTCTATTAGAAAACTTATAAGCCTAGTTGAAAGTTTTATAGTAGCACCATTTGCTTATAATGATTTGAATATTAAAACATACATTCAGCATCGTTTTGGACAGGTATAATAAGTTTTTCAATACAAGATAAAAAGCCTTGCACATAAAAGGAGTTCATAGTAACTTTGAGTGTCATTGTATTTAAAATGTGTATGAGAAACATTTTACTAACATTTTCACTACGCATTATGTTTACAATTTACAGTTGGTTACCATGGTGTGTCAACAACGAAAAAAATTTCTAAAACTTTGCTTGATTTTGAAACACTAGTGGTAGGTTTGTTTGATGATGATGCATTCATAAATAGTGGTAAAGTTCTATAAGATAAGTAGATGATAAATAACATCAAGAAATTTAGTGACTTCAGTGTAGCCTTGATTAATTTTTCTTTTACTTGATCAGAGGGAAAAGTATCATAGTTGTTAGACTTGGTAAGAGAGTTACTAGCTCAAGAATTTAATCATGGCATTGAGAATTCATAGCAGCTTTGCCTTTTTACATTTGCTTGCATTTGTTATGCATTTTTTTCATGCAATTATACCCCCATTCGCACTGAGTATTTCGATCTAGATTGTAACCAAGGTCAGCGACTATGCCATGGTGCAACCTCTCTTGATTGTTTTGATCTTGACTGAAATGAGATTCAATCGTGATCAACTTGAGAGTTCTTGAAACTAGATTCAGTCATAAGAGAGATCCCACAATCTCACACATGCAAGAAAATACAAGATGGCTGTGGAACATGTGTCGGGCTATCAACAGAGAAATAAAAAAGATATCTGGAGAGATGATGACATCTATCTATTATTAGATATATGGCAAGAAAAAGTATTTATTTCTAACCAAACTTCCATTTTGTTTGTTGGTGTTTGTGACTTATTGTGTAGTTATGCCAGTTTTATCATTGCGTGTAGTAGCCGGGTTTTTCTCAAGCAGACTGCCTGTGCGAACAGCTCGACGTTCGTCTCGCGACAGTCACAATTGAGATTGTAGGCAAATCGAGATTGAAATGAGTCGTGGATTGTGTGCAAACGTAGTATTACACTTGATGAATCCTTACCTATCAAAAGTGGAATTATGATTGCTAGTTGACTTTAGTCAGTACTCTTTGTCAGGAATGTTTTTCATTTTTAAGAAGTTTTTGCAACATTTTTCGATCTGGTTTCTCAAAAATGAGGAGAAATTTTTTTTTTCTTTTTTTATCCCAACTTTGAACAATACAACAATTAATTCAAGAACTGGCCCTATGATATTTATAGTTTTCTCTTTTGATTGATCAAAGCTTAGCAGTTAGAGATTTGTGTGGCTGTGTCGTATTGGTTGGCTGCTTATGATGAGGTTGGACACAAATTGTGAAGCCTTGACACGCTTTTTTGGGGCCTTGCTGAATCTTGACACCAAGTAGGTTACACTTACCATTAGAGGTTTTATGGATGGTGTGGTCATGTATGCACGAATTGGGGTAATAAGATGGATGAGAAAATGACAAACAGTTTTTATTGTCAGTCGCTTTGAGGATTTCTTGACTTTTCATTGACTCTCTCTACTGGATTTTGCTAATACAATTAATAGCAATAATAAATAAATAAATCTGGTAAACCAGTATTAATCCAAATACCATTTTTATAGAAAATACCTTGCAGTGCTAATTTATAACATTTCAAACTGTCATATACATAATCTATTGGACTAATAATTTTAATGAACCATTTTTAATTGATCTTTAAAAAGGTCTTATTGATCCCGGGTTGATACTGAACACTTTGGGGACTCCCAATCCGTACAGCAATTGGATGCAATGTTTTACTTCTCTTGGTTGAATTTATATTACAGTAAATGTTTACTGATTACACTGTTACACTGATAAAAATACTTTTTCTTTTCATACAGAATTGTTGGAAAAAGAAGAATTTAAAGAGAACAATGTAAGTTGATTATTAATTTCAATAAGATATAAGTAATATATTATAATTGTAATAATTGTTATTTTTTTTAAAATTTTTTTCATGAAATCTTTTAGATTATTTTTAAATTACTTTTCATATGATATATGATAAGTAAAAAAAAGTTTAAAATACAGTCGACCCCCCTATAAGATAGAGATACGTTCCATTCTCTAGGAATCCGCTTTCTTACGAATCCTTCCAATCACAACCCGACACGTGTCAAGTTTACGGACTATGGCTGTTTGAAAGATTTTCTTCCATAAAATTAATCGATTCTAGACTAATCCGACTCAACATTTCCAAAATACGTATATATTTTTTGGGAATAATCCGTATAAACTACGCTATAAACAAAAAATTGTAGGATTACTTACCGAGTGTCACCATTCGACATTG